GAGCGGGTCAGAGAAGAACAGCTTGTTTCATTTGATAGGTAACAGCTTCTTTTACTTTTGATGTATACTTTTAACTACATGTAAGTGAAGTTTTTTGTGGTAAGATAAGTTACTGTAACTTGGGCCAGGCTCTGCTAGATGAATGCAAAGCAAAAGGATTTGAAATGCAATTATTATAGTACTTGTAATATACAATGTGTAAAAAAACAAACAAAAAAAAAAAAACCCAAAAAAAAATCCCCACACACACCAAAACAAAAACCCCCAAAACAACTGCATATGACAGTATTTTATCCTCCTTAAATGTAGATTGTGTGATGACTGCCCTGAGGGGAATAGTAGAGTCCTTAGTATGTGGCAGTTGGAGCTGCTGGTTTTCTGGACTGTGGGCACAAGATTACCAGACAGGATTTCCTTCACTTTGACTCTTTTCACAAAGAGCTGTATATTTATTTAATGGGTTTGGGTGTTCTCTAGCAGCCCAACTGGAGCTTAGAGTAGTGTATGAGGCTGCCTTAAATTCAGAAATCCTGGACATTATGCACTGGCCTACTAGTTCTAGAACATGCACAACAAGACAGCATTACTGTCACCTGTCAAATAGTTGTATTGGTTCTGCAGTAACAGAGTGCCTGCATAGTAGATAGGTTTGTAAAATACCAACTTTACAGTGTGGTAAAGAAAACTCGAGACACTCCAGAACTATCTGTGATTGCTATGTCAGTTTCTACTGTATGTATGTTTGAGAACCAGGATGAAATCTGTTGGCCCTATCTTTATAAATCCTTTAACTTTCTAAATCAAGAGACCTAGCCTACGTCTCTCATCTACACATCTTCCATCTGCAAACTGCACTTCATCTGATCAACTGCTTGGTGTGCATCCCCTTCATTAGCCTTCTGCTTTCACATACTGAGTCAGGAGTGAAAACCCCAGGTTGTTCAATTATACAGATGCTGTGATGAGTTTGAAGGCCTTGCACACTAAAGCAAGGGGAACCAGACAGGTTCATGCAGAGTCTCTTAGCTTGGTGAGAGATAGTGGCACACAGCAGCTACTCCACATTCAAAGTTGTTCTTACGTGCTACATGTCAAAATTCTGCCTTCAATAACTGAAAACCCTACTGTCATCTCGGAGCTCAATTGCTGGAATGGTCAGCTGTCTCTGACCTAGTCATGTAGTTTATCTTCATTTCTTTTGGCACCTTGAGACTTTAAAACTTACTATTTAGTGTTGTATACATAGCACTGGAATGTTACAGTGCTTTCCAGCACAATTCTCTTAGCTGAGAAGAGGGAGGTGTTGCCCTTGAAGAACTTTGTGCTGAACAGATAGATGGCCTGGTATTATAGATAACTCTCTTCACTATGATTTCTGTAACGTGTGCAGTGGTTATGAAGTACCAGCTCATCAGGAGAGAGGTAGACTGGGATGCAGAGATATTTGTTTCATTTCTTTTGGTATGTGATTTAATTTGAAGTTGTTACTACACTAATGAATTAAAATACTAAACCACTTTATTCTTATCTCCAAATGCCAGATAGCAAGTGAGAATCTTTGAATCCAGATGCTTGTCAGGTGTTGTTTTGTTCTGATAATGTTGTGCTTGCAGGCTACTCTCTATCAGAACTTTCACCCCGATTTCTCCCTTTTTGGGGGATGGTGAGAGGGAAGGAAGGCACAGGTATTTAAAAAAAAAAACAACCCAAAACAGAACTGAAATAAAAGGAGGTTTCTTCTATGCCATCGATAACTGTCACATCCTAGAACAGACTATTCTATGCATGTAACTGCTTTCCAGTTTCTTCACTTTTCCTGATCTGTGCCTATTTTTCCAATTCTTCCAATTCAAAACTGTTGTCACAAATCCGTGCTGTCTCTGTATACAGTTGCAGGGCTAGGAACCTGGGGGTTGTTATATAGGAAACTTTTCAACTTGAACTCAGTGGCACATTGCTATAAATGGACTGTGGAAGTACCTATACTCAGAGAAAGAGTCGTACTTTCTTTCCATCTCTTTCCAGTGGTGAAGATTGGAATCAAATGCAGTCTCAGGAAGAAGATGTGGCAATAACTGAACAGGACCTTGAACTCATTAAAGAAAGAGAAACAGCAATCAGGCAATTAGAGGTGACCAGTAGATCCTCCACACTTAACAGTATTGAGAGATAAACCAAAGAAGTCATGCAGTGCTAACTAATGGGATGGGCTGAGGAGATCTGAAGGTGGAGGAACAGAGTTCCTTGTAGAGAGGATTGATGCCAAGATCAATCTCCCTGCTCCTGTTGAAGGAGACTAGATACATTTTCCTTCAGTGTTCACTGGTGGACCTTCAGAAATGGTAGGAACAACTCATGTTACAATGTTCACCTAAGTTCCATACTGTGCTAATTGCTAGTGTGATGAAACAAATACTGAGTAGTAGGAATATTGCAGGCTCCTGTATTAATCCCAAGTTCCATAGATGGTAGCATCAGGTCACCTCAGTCAGTGAATGATGATGACATTCTGAGCAATGGTCAGAAGAGGTACTAAGAATGAGGTTTAGAAAAATCGTAACTAATGTTTGTTATAACTTTTCAAACTGTTGTCTTCAGGCAGACATTTTGGATGTCAATCAGATATTTAAGGATTTAGCCATGATGATTCATGACCAAGGAGATATGATTGGTAAGTGTGTTTAGATAATAGGAAGTTTCTTTCTAGTTCAACTACATATTTTGCCTACATAGATTAAAGTTTCCAGTATTTTGTATAAAAAGTATTGTATTTCTGGGGGTTTTTTTAAACACTGAAGCTCTGAAATATTTTTACAATGACATTTCTTATTTTTCCATAGATAGCATAGAGGCAAATGTGGAAAGTGCAGAAGTCCATGTGGAAAGAGCCAGTGAGCAGTTACAGAGAGCTGCCTATTATCAGGTAAATTCTGTATGCTTGCATTATTATCAAAGTACAGTTAAGCAACAATGGAACAGACATAATGACACATACTGAAGACGGGAGCACCCCAAACAAGTTATTAAAAACAGCTTGTGCAAGTTGGCACTCACTCATAATTGTGCTGCAAGGAATAGATAAAGCACTTGAGTCAAAAACACAGTATTCAAATTAGCCTTCTACTTCAGAGGATGTAGTCAGTCTGTTTCTTCATGTAGGTGTGATCAGCAAGTTCAAGTGTTTAGCTGTCTTTGTTGTTCTCGGTAGTTAGCAGAACGGTTAAACAAGAACAAATTCTCATGTTGTATTCATCTTGTAAACATACCAGCCAATTCTCCCTGAGACAATACCATACCATTTCTGCACATCAGTGCAGAAATCCTTGCACAGACTAGGGAAACTTCTGGTGACTGGGATTTGCAGCACCCTTCTTTCTAACTGCTGAGTTTCTATCCCATAGTCTGTCCTTCCTATCCCATCAAATCTGTTGCAGTGGTTCTCACTGCTGCTTAAATCTCCTTTGTGTATGATATTCAATGTTTCCTATAGGTTCTTTTCATCATTATTGTCCCTGTAGGTCCAGGTTCTGTGAAGGAATAAGGGTTCTGCTTCAGTCAGTCCCATACAGAGTTTCATTGCTGGGACTTCAGGCTTCCACACGAGATGAAAAATTGGACTCTTTCAAGCTGTTAAGTGGAGAGGCAATAGAAAGCAATAAAACTCTAGTGCTGTTTAGCGCAAGGGACTGAAAGTAGCTTTTACCATCTGGCAGCATTTAGTATTCTCTCTCTCTCTCCGTGCCTTCCTTTAAAGTTTTGATGTATAAGTTTGGGAGCTATTGGACATGTATTGGATGTATTTTACTGGATAGAAGAGGAAGTGGTTATACGTAACTATCATCAAATCCTTAGGTACTAAGTTAAAAATATTCGGTGTGTATGGATAGACTGTTGTTTCCTATGATTAATAAAGTGATCAAAGCTGTAAAATCTAAGTACAGTAACTGTACATGAAATCACTTAAACTGTAGAAATGCAATACTATTTCCACACCAACCCCAGGTGGCCAAGGGGAGACTGTATTGGAGATCTGCCTAGTAGTTTTATTAGTCTTACCTGGAAAATTGAAATAGCTAAAGATGTTTGGCTTTCCTTTGAAGCCATGGTGTTGTCCCTTAGGATGAAAAGCATTATGGTAGGTGTTGTCAAGTTGAAGTAAAGCTTGCATTTTCCTTAAGAGAAGCAAAACTTGTCACTTAACTGCATCTCTTGGACCACTGTGCTCCGAAAACTAAAAATATTTATCATGCAGTTAAAGGAACATGTAAAAGTATTCAGACTGTACTGGTTAATTCTCTTGAGTAAGTATGGGTATCAAGTGATCTAGTTCACCAAAGTTAGTAACATTAACTGGGTAGACTTGCTTTTTCCTCTTGTCATCTATTCCTGGTGTCAGTGGCCTTTTTTTTTTTTTCTTCTTTTATTAGAAGAAATCCCGTAAGAAGATCTGTATCCTGATTCTTGGTCTTGCTGTGGCTTCTATAATCATAGGATTCATTATTTGGCAGACAGCAAAATGAAATCTTCACATGGAACCTAGTCTCATTGCTGAGATTTTTTCCCTCAGAGTGAACAGGCTGACTAGTCTTGGAAATGAATTGACCACTCTGAGAGAGCACAAGCTGGAACTACTTCTAGTAATAGATATTAGCAACTAACGTGCAGATAACTAGTATTTGGAATTAGTGAACCATGGAGACAGTATTTATCAGTTTATATACAAATTATATTGTTTTATGTAACTAAAATCTTGTGGTTTTGCTTTCTGTAATGTATTATTCCCTGTCCCAACCATATGCTGAAGTACGATCAATAATTGGAGATGTCTTGTTTTTGACAAGTGGCACAACTTTAATATTTTATGTGTATAGGTAACTTTGTTGGACTGGAATAAGAATGACATTCAAAGAGGGCACAACACCAATTCATATTATCTTAACCCAGCAGTTTCTAAAGTCTCCAGTATCCGCCCCATGGTTTTACTAGTCTCCAAGTGGCTGTGGCTCTAGATTCTCTTGAAGAGAAAGATGTTGTTACAGATTTGAAAAGCAAGAAGTATGCATGGATGATAGTTGGAACCACTGTGTGCTGGTCAGTTTAGCCTTGAGACTTGTAACTGGTGTTTATTTTTTTGAGTGTGGTTGGAGTGGTTTGTTTCCAAAACACATCACTTGGACAGGATGTTCTTTGACTGATAATCTAACAATGTAGCTTCCTTAGAGAAACTAGCTGGTGGTTTATTATTGGACAAATAAACCTCTTCCAATGCTGACTTCAAAGCACTAAAACATACAAAGTTTAGCTGCTTGCTCGTAGTTGTTTTTAGAAGCTTCCAGGGAGAAAATCACGCAAAGATGAGGAAGTGGGCACCTAAGTTTACAAGCTAGCAAGGTGGATGACTATTAGCTGAAATCTTGCTTCTGAAGTACTCTTTGAAGCTCACTTGTAGCATACCAGTAAATGTGTGGCTTGTGAACATCTGGTATTTTCCATTCTTTATGAAACAGAAAGTGCAGAAACTGGATGAGTGAAGTGCTAGGTTTTTCAGACTGAGCATGTGTGTGCAAATGAAAAAGGTCACTGGTTCCAACTGTCTTGCTAGTAAAGCTGGACAGAATGTAGCAGCCACTCCCTGCTTCGATGTAGCTCTGAACTGACATGCACTGAGGAAACAGTAATCTGGCCAAAGCCCAATGAAATTTGGTAAATGCAGCATTCTGACCCATTTTGTATTTAATCCTTATTCCATGTCTCCTGTATAATAAAGTAAATGTGAAAGCTGGGAAGGGAGTGTGTTCTCCCCATTGCACAGTGGTTTGCACTATTGCGCCATCATTCCATCTAATAACCATCAATAAACACTTTTAAAAGCCTGTGTCAGAGCTTCTTTCTCTTACAGTTTAGACAGTGGCATGGGTAGGTTTGCAGTTTCCTCTGTAAGCAGGGTAGAAGACTTTATATCAGCAACAGATGAGTTTCCTCCAGTTTTAGTTCTGTGGTCCCTGGTTCTGAAGAATGAAACTAGCTGAAAACACTGAGTAACTTTCACATGGACATACACAAAACAATTGCATTGTACAATAGCTGATCACAGAAAAATGAAACTGATGTCCCAGAGCAGTGGTGGGTCAAGTTTGACTATTTGCCTATTGCTAGACCTTCAAGCCTTTGCTGAGCCTGTGTGGTAAGATCTGGGAAGGGACCTGTATGTTGTTCTGCTCCTTATTTAAAATACTCCCTCTAAATGGTAGAGGATTCCTGCTCCAGGGATGTCATATCTCTGTAGGAAAATGAAAGCACTTAACCTCATCTTCATGCTTAAAAGGGAGCCTCAGTACATTATCTGTCTGGAATTGAGAATACCAGTCCAGCTTGCTGGACTCAGGATTGCTGTAATTGACTCATTTCAGCTTGCTCTTTACGTTGTTGAACTTAGAAGTGGAACTGCTGCAGAAACTGTTTTTAACAGCAGTCTTGGCTAATATTCCTGAGCATGAGAAATCACCATCAGAAACTCTCATTTTTGTTGCTGCAGTATTCTGGCACTAAGCCTTCCTGGCTCTTAGATGTGTTTTCTACCACTCTGGGAAATGCTGGAGCCTTACCCTGGGAAGTCTGGTGCTCGCCCTGAGAGCCAGTGAAGGGCTAAGCTTGCTTGTGCTGCTTGTTGTGGTAGCCATCCCTGCACTGCTCAGGGGTGCAAAGTCCTCAGAGCTCTTGGGGAGCTGTGGCTCACTGCTGTAATACTGGAGAAAGGTGATTTTCTTCCCCTCATATAAGCTCAATTATCTGTACTTGTAGCAAAGTACATGCCATCTAGTGGGTTTCCTGTCTGCGGTTTTCTAAGAAACTGAGATGCTAAAACTTGCTAAAATGGGGTTTGATCCGGGTCACTCCCCTGCTGTACGCGTAAGCTTTTTTACCGACCCTCCTGTCAGCCCCTTCCCCCCTCTGCATCAGCGAGGGACCGAGAAAGCGCGGCGGTGGACGGGGCCGGCGGCACCGCTCTCCGAGGCCCTG